CGATGTAAACGGCGTTGAGATATTAATTAATAATTTTTAGTTAATTGAATCGGTGTGTAAGGGATGCATGTTTCTCCACGTTAGAATGAAATTCAATTGTTCCTTGTTAAATTCACTGTTTCGGTTATGACGTGTACTAATTAAAAATATAATTAAAATGCGTATAAAGGGATGTAATATGGTTATTCACGCGGAATAAAATTTTATTGTGTTTTATCCAATGGTTTCTGCCAAATTCACTGCTGTAATATTACTCGGGTTAAACTATATTAATTAAAAATTTTTTTATTAATCGATACAGGTGTGCGAATATGTTTCTGTGCTATTTAATAAAAAGTTTAAATTACGTTGCTTGAAAAATACGCGCGTGAAAAGTTGGTTTTTGTAAATTATTCCAATTATTATTCTAAATGTTTGTTTGGTGGTTTTTGACAAAGTATAAATTTTCAAGTTTATTTAAAATTATTTAAGAAATCGTCAATTAATGTTGTACGATCTTAAAAATCGCATTCGATTCTTACAACTATTTCGCACAGATGAAAAAGAATTCTTTTAATAATTAACATTGCAACACGTGCCATCCAGAATTATCAAATATTAAAGAGATTACACTTCTCGCGATAAATTGTAATAATTTTCAATTTCTCAGGCAGAGAAAGGACGTGCCAATGCAGCGCTCGAGCAAATCACCGCGACGATGAGAGGTGCCACGGGTCAAAGAGGCGAAATGGCCAACTTGAAAGCCGAAACCGAACAGGAGAGCACAGAATTGGCTCGCAGGAAGGTAAACACACTGCACCCGCAGTGATACTCGCGTAAAAAAAAAAACATTTCCACGCACCCGCGTTCTCCAATGCACGTTTCTTCGTTTCTCGAAACATCTCCTTGGAACTTGCTCGTTTTCTTAAAATGTTCGTCAAAAGCCATTTCTTTTTATGACACCACAATGAGATGTAGATCTCATTTGCTTCAGTCAAACCAGACTCGATAAATGCTCGATAAATTAAGGGGATAGATAGATAGATAAATAAAAACGAAACCGAAAAAATCGAATCGCAGGCCGAAATCGAAGGGGAATTAGGGAAAGTGGAGCCGTTAGTGGAACAAGCGGCGCAAGCAGTGGCTGGCATCAGCGCTGACGCATTAGCGGAAGTTCGTTCTTTGAGAGCACCTCCAGCGCCTGTGAGAGACGTCCTCGAGGGTGTCCTTCGTTTAATGGGCATAAAAGACACGTCTTGGAATAGCATGAAGACGTTCCTGGCGAAGCGCGGTATTAAGGATGAAATAAGGTAAACACTTTGGCAATTGTAAAGTCCCTTAAGATTTCACTTCACTTGTTTCAGTGGCAAAATTCTTTCGCCAGTGATTGCAAAGTGATTCATGATATTTTTGAGGATTTCCATTTGTTTCTCTAGAAAGCATACTATATTATTGAATATTTTCTGTGCCTGTTGATACGAGAGTTTATATTATATTACATTAATTGCTGAAGCAACTTTTTACTTCAAGTATCAAGAACTGTACAATATATATTACGTGAGACGAGAAAGCATTCGTAAATTCAATTAACTGTATCGCGAAAAGTTTCATTTACTATTACTTCTTTTTGTAATATAGAACTTTAAATATTTCTCGCGTTCTGACGCACTACGAAATCCTTGAAATTACAACACTAGAATTTTTATTCCGTAGTATGCTTCGATTCTAAATAAAATTAAGTTGAATCTCCCGTATTTATACCGTCGTCGCTGTGTATTTGAACGAAAGCCTCATTTCACAAACAACCTGTTCAAACATTCGCTCCTAATTTAACTCCTATAACTCGCAAGAAACGCATTCGGAACGAAGTCGACGAACAATGTACTCGTTGATACTCGTGAGCAGAGCTACATCTCGGTGTATAAACCACCGAGTCGAAACTGATCGGACAATTCGCAAACAAGTCGCCGGCTATTTCGTCTGTCTGTTTCATCAGCGACTATTGACGCGAGTTCGGAAAAGACGTGCTAACGTCTTTGTTCGATTTAGAACGTGGGACGCGAGAAGAAGCACACCGTCGAGTCTGGAGGCGGTTGCCAAGTTGGTCAAGGAGCGGCCGGAGAGTTTCGAGGAGAAAACCGCGAAACGAGCTTCGGTGGCTGCGGCTCCTTTGGCCGCCTGGGTCCTCGCGAACCTTCAATATGGCCAGATTCTTCAGCAAGTCGCGCCCCTTGAGAGAGAGCAACGACAGCTGGCCGAGTGAGTTACACGTGTTTTACTGTCACGCCTGTGCAAAACTTGAGGAAGCTGCAAGAAAAAAAAAAGCTGTTTTCAAGCGCGAGACTTCCATCTTGGCGATCATGAGCTCAGACATTTCTTCATGTAGCGATTTTACATGATGATGATTTTACATAGTGAAGATCCGTTTTCGAAAATTCGAACCAAATGTGTGAAGATATTAAAAAAAATTTTTTTTTTTCATGAATTCTTTCGTCTAGTCTGGTTCTTACGATAAAATACAGGAAACAGCAAATGTAAAATGTATTACAAGCTGAAGACTTCGACAATGTAGCGATTAAAATATTTTATATTTAAAGAATTTGGCGCAATAATTATTAAAGAAGACAATATAGTATTATAATTTTATACAGTAATTGAACGATTCAAACGTGAACAAGGTTAATAATATTTGTTGAATACTTAAAGATTCCGACAATATAATACTATATTCCTTGTGCTTTAAAATTGCAAGGTTAAGATCCCAGTTTCATTTCATTTAAATAAAGATTTAAAAAGCATTTATAATTTCAATTCTATAATATATTTATCAATAATTTCAGAAACTTCATTTATTATTATTATTATCGATTAAAACTGTACTAAGCAAACTCTCTTTCTCATCGTCCAATTATTTTTTTTTTTTTATATCGAAAAATTAAGACTTTATTGTGTCACGTGTGAACGATGAATTTTCATTAAAATTTTAATTTCAATGTCGATAATTTTATTAATAAAAATCTTGTCAAATTTGATGTTACGCTTCAATGAATGTTACACCTTCAGACGTTTGTCAGCGGCAGAGGCACAAATTGGCAAGTTAGCAGAGGGGCTGAACACGGTGGAAAGTCGTGTGGCGCAGCTTCAAGAGGAACTAGCAGAACGCTCAAGGGGTGCAGCCGCGCTTCAACTACGCGCCGAGACAACAGAGGCGAGGCTAGCGACTGCAAGAGCGTTGCTGCAGAAATTGGACACGGAGCATCGCGACTGGCAAGCGCAATTAGAGGAACTGACCAGCAGAAAACAAAAGTTGGACGTCGAGGCTGCTAATGTTGCATCTCTGCTGGTTTACGAAGTAGGTCGTGATAATTCGCCAGGCATATAAAATAATCCTACGTCGGGAGATCGATGTTTGAAAGTAATCCAGGAGTTTAGAATAGTTAGACATTAAAGTAAATAATGTAATAGTTGGTTAAACGACATCGGACATTCTAAACATTCAAAGTAATCGATGCTTCTATTAATTTGTAAAATTGTCTTGAATGATCGAGAGCGAATGGCATTCTCGTGGATATTTTTGAAATCGACCGAAAAATCGACGATAAAAAAGGAAAGAAAAATCCCAAAATTGAAGTTATAATCGATACACAATATTTTTATCAACGTTTACCAAACGATAAAAAAAATCCAAATTTAGAAGCGAATAATATTTCCATTAACATTCGAAGTTAACTAAACAATTAAAAATCCGAAATTCGAAGCAAGTGATCGAATAATAGAAAATTCCAGAATTCGAACCAATAATAATAATATTTCGTCTTTCATCGTCGAAATCAAATGTACTCGTTCGCGAATCTGAAAATTTGCAAATACTTGGAACATCTATATTCGAATACAGAATCTTGGGAAAGATGACAAATGGAAGAAATCAGCCATAGATCTCTTGATCAGCGAGAGAGAAAGGCTACTGTGGCGAGCTCAGGGTTTGCCAGCGGACACCGGAAGTCTGGTCGGTGCATCCTGCGCTCTCAGAGGCCCCTTGGTTCCCATATTCATCGATCCGTCCGGCCTGGCAGTGTCGTGGCTGAAAAACAACGCCGACTCAAGGATGGAGGTCACAAAGCCGGAGGATGCTAAATTTTTGACCACGTTGGAATTGGCTGTTCGGTTTGGCAAACCATTACTGGTGGAGGAACTCGTTGAATTCCCATCGATTCTGTTGCCATTGCTGCGTCGACGTCCCCTGAAACTCGGCGAAAGAACGTTACCTGCGCCTCAAGGCTTCAAACTTTTCTTGGCCACTAGACGAGACAAATTGGATGGTTTCCCGAAGGAAGTCGACGCGGTTTTGTTCAAAATTGCACTCGGTGCCGGCACCAAGAGTTTGGCCGAGAGATTCGTCGAGAAGGTAAAATATTGGATTTGGTGGTTGTACAATCAATACAGATGCATATATTTAATTTGATATATATATATATTTTTTTTTATTATCTTGAAACGAATATCAACTAGACTGAATTAGTTTAATTCTATTTCGCACTTGATTTCCTGCTTAATTTTACGTTGCCTACTCTCTTCTCCGTTCGACGACCAAAATGGACACTGTGGCACCTCGTTGCCTTTCGTTTTCTTTCTCTCTCACACTCACACTAATATTATATTATTTTCAAAGCACTGTGCACTCGTATGCCTTAAGCTTCCGTAAATTTGTTCTGTGCTAGATTTTAGCTTTCCTACAAAGATTTGCAGATTGATTTAGGTTTTATAATTCTTTTCTCCAATTCCAGTTGAAATTATAATTAATTTTACAATATAAATATGCTTTCTGAATTAAAATTAATTCACTAAATACGTACAAATTCGAATAATGCGCACTTTTCACCTGAAGTTCGAAAACGACGAAGAGAAATTGTACATCAAGATTTGTAGGGTTGTTGCTTCAGTCTGTAAATCTATAATAGATTCTAGACATGAAAAAAATTGGAAGACAGAGAGAGAGAAAGAGAGAGTTTTAACCTTTAAAGAAATTTTCAAGGAAGAAAGTATGTTTACTCTCTTATGATATGCTGCATGATATGCAAATATCGTAGAAAAATATGAATTATGGATCGCGGAAGTAGACATTACGCTTTAAAAATGAGCTCAGATAGAATTTCGTACGATTCCCTTTCACAGAGTTAAAATCAACGCAATGCAATAATATTTACACATCGAAGAAAAATCAACATTAATTTTATTGAACTGTCACCCGCGAATATTCGAAATTCGCCAATTTTGGAGGACTGAATACGCATTCGCACTTCGAGTTCAATCAAATCCCTTTTTAAGTAGGATCCTGCGAAACATGTAAAATTTAAAAATGACTTCAGTCACAAAGTATGGAAAATTCCATCAAACTTGTCGCCAAAGACGATTTCTCCTCCCCTCTTCCATTAGCCGAATATCAAAAAAAAAAAAAAAAAAAAAAAAGAAAAAAAGGAAAGGGGAGAAGAAAAATCTGTTCAAACGACAACTCATTTCGAGTGGCTCGACAATGAAATTGGAAAACTTCTGTGGGCGATGAGTCGAAAAGTCTGGTGGAAAGTAAAATACCAGAGTTAAAAGATTAATTGCTTCGTCGATGGACGGAGGGGTGCAGGTTCTGTTGAAGGAGACGCCGGAACTGGCGACACAGAGGAAGGAGGCGTTGGAACGCGAAGAAAAATTATCAGGAGAACGGGACACCGCGAGATTGGATCTGTTGGCGCAGCTGGCCACGGCCAGAGGTCAAGATCTCCTTCAGGAGTCTGAAGGATCGCACGGCGGGCTTTTGTCATCGTTGGAAGCCACTCAATCGAAAGCCAAGGAAATAGCTCTAGCACTTGAGCAGAGCCGACGAAGCTTCGAAGATGTCACCAGGTTCGTACAAATTTATTAAATTTGATTGAAATTTTTATTAAAAAAGTCTAATACAAATATATGTGTATCATAAATGTATTAACTGTATATCTGTATGTATTAATATAATAACATAGTAGAAATGCAATATAAATTGTAATAATTTATAAAAGCCCTTTAGTTAGACAAGTGGATTGAGTCCTTTTTCTTAACGTTACGAAGATTGAACTTACCTGTAATATTTTATAATAAATTAAAAACAGAATGTAGGTTTAGCCTAAGGAAATAAAGCGAAAGAATAATAATATTTATGACGAAGTGTAACTTAAAAGAAAGATACATTTCTTTCAGTAGTAAACTAATGGTAAGGTGATTATTTTTTATCAACGTAAAAAAAGATACACGCGAGTTAAAATTAAATTGACAAATGAAATAAATATGATTACTACTTTCTATAATAAATTCATTCTTGCTGATTTTGAACTTACATCACTCGGCAATTGGAGAAGTTAATTTAGTAGTTGATAATTCAAAATTACTTTAACAAAATTTCTCTTTTATTCGAAATTCATTTGCAATGGAAGAATGTATGATCAATGCAACAGAAAGAAAAACAAATACTGAAATATACATATATATATAAGTATTCTAATTATAATATTAATACTTTAAAGTGTAATACTCATATTTCTCAGAAATATTTATTTCATCCAAGAGAAGAATCGTGTTTCTGAAAGGGTGGTTGCGTATGAGCGTAATTTCGAGCAAGTGAAAATTTTGGACAAGAAAGGAGAAACTTCATTAAAACAGATTTAAAATACCAATTATCAATTGCTGAACGGTACACATGATTACAATTTGCAATCTAATAATATTTAACAATTTGAAAAATAAGAAGGAAACTTTGCAATTTATACTCTTTGCGTGGATATAACAACTTGTTGCAGCTAATTTTAGCCCCTGCCTGGGAAAGCGAAGAAATTATTACTTGCAGAGGTGTGGACACTGTATTCTGCAGTACTTATGTGCTTCACAGATAACCTGCTCCCACATGGAACAGCGGTATTATTGGAATTAATTATGCCACTCGTGTAAATCCAGAAAGTGATCAACAGATTAATACGTGTTCTCTACCATGCGTGTGTTACATATGTATAAACATGTTCCATGCTAAATGTATCATTCACGCTGAATTTCATCGTTTACCATATCTAAACAGAAACGTGTTAACGTTAAAAATCCAATGAATATTGTTAGGATTAGATCTGTTAGATTAAAATCAATCGTATTGAATATTTTTCTAGTTAGAATAGAAAATTAAAAGAGGTATCGAGAATCGGTTTTTAAAAAGTAACTCGATAAATCTTCAACACACCACAAAAGTCTGGATTAAATTATTTTACATTTTGCCCTATAAATATGTGAATAAATGAAAATTTTCCAACATTTATATGTTAATTTATATATTGATAATTTTATGACTATTCCATATTATCGTTATATTCTTATATAGAGATACAGAACGTTGAAAGGAAACTCATCAAACTGGCCAATATTTGCAAAATAACGTAAAATTAACTTCTCAAGGACCGTATTATTTTGCAAAAATCAGCTGAAATTTCCTTTCAATAAGTGGTTGTTATACCTAACATAACATATCAGAATAAAATTAGAAGGAGGTGGTATTTTAAAAGATATCGCACCCCTAAAAACTTCAATTCGTAATCTCACAATTTTTCGTGTTTGCGAAAAAATATACCTATTCGACGTGAATATACTTCTAATTAAAGTAGGATCGTGTTAACAAAATGATAAAAAAAAAATTCAGAGACAGAGACTTAAAACCGTGCAATTAAGACAGCAGCCCTCTAAAATTAAAGGAGTATTAAGCACAAATTACACGTCGTCTGTATCAATAAACTTCACAGACGTTCGAGGTGAACGTCGTTGAAATTCATTCATTCAGTTTATATAATAGTTTCCTTTTGCTTTTGAAATTTGAAGTTTCGCGAACGTACTGATCGAAGTTTCTTTGCACGTGTATATTTCCCCCGGTGAAAGTTTTTTAATTCGCAGAAACCGGGCAACTTCCTTTTAGAAATATTCACTGTCGCGAGACGAGCTCTGAAAAAAAAAAAA